CGAAGGTTTAGAGACGTTTAAGCTGAGAGGTTGTAAAACATCATTTTAACCAATTTAGACAACACCATGCATCTATGTACTTTGTAGAAAGAAAAATAAAAGCACATACACTAAAATTTTTGAAGTAATCAAGGATAAAATTCCACTTGCAAACCCAAGAACATTCATGTGCGATTTTGAGCAAGCAGCAAGACATGGAATTACAAGAAGCTTCCCAAGCATTGAAGTAACAGGGTGTTTGTTCCACCTTAGTCAAAGTGTATACCGTAAAGTACAAAGTATTGGTTGTGCTACTTTGTACCAACAAAGTGAAACATTTCAAGATCTTGTTGGATTATTGCCAGCACTTGCTTTCATGCCTCCAAATGAGGTTGTCAGTTCATTTGAGCAAGTTCTTACATTTCCATTGTTTACCACTGCCAGTGTAACATTGAGAATTGATTTCATGAAGATTTACAAGTATTTTGAAAGAACCTACATTGGCACCTTTCTCTCAAACACAGTTCAGATAAGAAGAATACCCACATTTTCCATAAATACTTGGAATGTTCTCTTTCGTTTAGTGAATGATTTGCCAAGGACAAACAATTCAATAGAAGGTTGGCACAGCTATTTTTGTAAATCATTAAGTCTTTGTAATACTGGTATATGGACATTAATTGAAGCATTCCAATTTGAAGAAATCCGTCAAGGTTCAATTCATGCATGTCGTTTGGGTGGTATGGATCCCTATCAAGTAAGAAACAAGTACAAGGTGGTAACAAGTGAACTCAAAAACCTTTATGACACCAGAGGGAGTAGAGATCTGTGAACCCATCTTAAAGCAATATCACATGAAATCAGGAAAAGTCTGTAAATACTTATATACTGTACATGTATATATATCTCTTCTATTTGCACTACCTTACTTGCATGCTTCATCAGATGAGCATCTACAGTTACAGAATCATTTTTAAAATGACTGAATTTTAATTTTTGGAAATGATCATTTTCTAAGTCTTGCATGCATTCTTACTGATGTTGATTTTAATATAAAAATGTTCAATATTGTACATGGAGTTCATCATTGTACAATACATACTGATATTGATGTGAATATTAAAATTTTCAATATTGTAAATGGAGTTCATCATTGCTGTACAACAAACCAAGAATTTCCATCCAGTTTTGTGTTATTCCAAGTGCTGTGTTCTCTAATTGTTTCATGTTTTGTTTATTCCTTTTCCAGGCAGACATCCAATTGGAATTTGTGTTGTATACAGCAGTGAAAAATATTACCATTGGGAAGTGACTCATTTTTCTGCTGAAGGCTTCTTCTTGCAATACATTGAACAACATATACAATTTGAAGTTCTGCAATTCCAATTGTGAAGTATGTTTATATGTTCTTCTAAAATATACAACTGTTTTATTCTAAGGTCTTTTGCTTCCATTTCAGATAAGATGGAAATATATTGTTCCCAGAGAAATAAACCAAAGATGGGCTATCAGGGATACGTGTACAACATGGACAAAAGCGGACAAGACCAAACCACTTGGAGGTGTCATCAAGCTGGTTGCAAGGGACGAGCCAAAACTCCAAATGATTTCTCTAATCGAGAAGGAGAACATGTTGTAACAATAACAAGAGAGCATCCTGGCCACAATCCAGATAGCCTTGACTGCAAAATGGCATGGATGCTCACAAGAAGAGCCCAAGGCATATCTTCAGAGAATTCCCCAGAAGAAATTGCTGCACAAATTCTGGGATGTAAATCAAGGCGTGTTGATCCTCAACTGCAAAAGAAAGCTGGCATCAGTGACATAAGTGCTTTGTCAAAATCAATCAAGATTGCGCGCCAGAAAAGAAACAAGGGTATGCATGCTAACAAAGTAGAATCCTTACAAAATTGGACAATTCCTTCAAAATTTGAGATGGTTGGAACAGAGGACAGAAGAAAAAATTTTGTTGTGTTTGATTCTGGAGTTACTGAATGCCAAAGTCGTATAATAATTTTTGGTACAAAGACTGGATTGACTTGGCTTGAAAGCCATGTTGAATGGTTTGTTGATGCATCTTTTCTGAACATTCCAAGCAATTTCTGTCAGCTTTGTGTAATTCACATTGTGTTTAATCACACAGTAATTCCTTGTGCTTATGTTGTTTGCCAAAATAAGGATCATGCTACCTTCAGAGAAATTTTTCAGATTATCAAAGATAAATGTGGCATTAATGTCAACCCAAGGAGTATCACCTGTGACTATAATGTGGAAGCCTTCCTCGGAATTAAAGACATATTTCCAGATATTAAAGTTTTTGGCTCATTGTACCATTTGATACAAGATGTGTATAGAGAAGTGCATGCAAAGGGAAATTCAAATTTTTTGGCAAAGAATGACACTTTCCGAACTTTGGTTGTTATGCTACCAGCCCTTGCATTCTTGCCACTAACCAGTATTCAAAGCGGATTTGAAGAAATCATAAAGTTTCCTTTGTACACAAATGCATCAAGAGATGTTAAAACTCATTTTGGATCTGTTTACTCATTTTTTAAAAGTAAATTCATTCTGACAACTGGATGTGCAATGGACAGCCACTTTGACCATGAAATTTGGAATACAAAATCTAGATTGGCTGAAGGATTCCTTGAATTGAATAGTGCCATTCAAGAGTGGAATACAAAATTTTCTAACTCCTTGCAATGTAAAAATCCCACAAGCTGGACTTTGATGGAAGCACTACAGCGAGAAGAGTTGAAGCAAGAAAAGATTTATGTGGATTGCCTTGAGAGGAAACCTGTGTATGGCAAAACAAAAAAAATTAAAGATGCAAATGCAGCAATTAAATCTATTGTTAAGGAAATTGAAAGTCGATCATTGAGCTCATACCTTGTTGGATTAACTTTTAATATGGATCTGAATAAATAATTTCACAGTTAAAGTTCCACACCATGGGCATCCAACCTCCACTGCATGCTGAAACTTCTCTTTGCATGTAGCCATGCAGCAGAGGCTCCTTTTTCCCATATCCTAGCTGTGTTACATTTGCCATTGTGAATATGAAGTGCATTATCCCTTGTACAAATCCATACTATGTTCTGCTTCAGTTCTATTTGTTCAAGTTGTTTTTAATTGCAGATGATGATGAAGTGTTTGTATGTATGTATATAGGAGGATGATTGAAGGAATGTACATGGCATTGTTGATAATTGAGTAAACTTGTTTTATTTCAATTGTATTCTTCATGTGTGCAATTATAAAATTGCATGGTAGCATGATTGAGTGAAGTATCTGATGGTGTATATACCTGCATCATCATATAAACAAAAACACATTGCAATATTACACAACACATAATTCAAAGACCTTTTCACTTTTCATTGCACACACCTTCATGAGCAACAAATTACCTCAGCAGTTTGTACACCATCTAAATGGCAGCACAGCACCCTTCAAACTCTGAAAAATCAGGAAAAATGGTGGGCCACAAAATTCTGCATTTTGTATATACTTTGAAGTACAAATTAGGCAAGCATAGAAGTAATTTTGAGATTTATATTCTACGCATCACAAATGTCTAGGAAGCATTAGGGATCAAGCATAGAAGTAATTTCATAATTCATATTTCATGTCTCAAAAACGTAAAAAGTCATTTTTTATACTGCATACAGTATTTTCTTTTTTCAGTTTCAAGGTCAACATCTTTGTGATCATTTTCAAAGGATAAAATAGATGCGTCAACAGCATATCAATAACATATACGGATGAATATTCCCAAGTGTTAGCATGTTATTTGCCGTCTTTACAGATGCAACAAAATTCTAAATTCTCATTACTTGATACACACATTCCGGATATTGCACATGAGAGCAGAATGCAACTTGACATTTCGACGCACTGTTTTCGATCCTTCAAACTTCGCAATTTGACAAGAAAGCAAACTTAACAAATGTTCTGAATTCACCAACACGGCATCAGCGGAAATCCCTTGTGGAGAAGAACATCCCCGGGAACCATAAGTATCCAGATTATCTTCAACATCACCACCGTTGAAACTTTCTTCGTCTGCTTCATCAGCGGATGCACTGATAAGAGTCCGTAGTTTCATGTTCCCGGAGTAAAGCAGAAGCAGGCTTAACGTCCTCAGCGGTTCCCGGCTCATCATTCTTGGAACATTTGGATGCAACGCTCTTCTGTTGGGCTGATTGGCGGCGTTGCTCTTTCTTCAGTAATTCTTTAGCACGTCCTTTTGGTTTCCGCTCAAGTTTTTCCAGCTTTTTTTTCTTTGACTGCAACAAATCACTGGGCTCTCCCTCATCTTCATGCTTTGTACCATGGCGGAGAACCTGCAAAAACACTCAATACTTGAATCACCGATTTGATAAGCCTCAAATTTCAAAGATGAAAATAATTCAGACGATGCTCGTAAGCATGCTTTTTAATTAAATGGTATTTGAATAAAAAGTATGAAATTAAATTCTTTTTAAAGCATAAAAGATTCAAACTGCAACTTGTACATGCTAAAGGAGGTTACCGATTTAATACATTTAGAAACCACTCGTGATTATGGGCCACATGATGATTTTGGTCAGCAATTGGAAAGCATGTAAGTTATTCTGAAATAATGAACCTAAAATAAAAAATAAGGCTCAACAATATCGTAATTTTCAAAGCCTATCAGAGGATCAAAACAGTTATTCTCATCTGAATTTACTCCGTGAATGGATTCATTTTTTTTATGCAGATATAATGTAATCTACATCACCCCGACACACATGCAAGGCACATGAATTCATGGGTCCTGCAATCGATTCAACGGACAAGTCTGCACCAGAATTTTAAAGCATCCTTCCGAGACCAGAAACAAGTGTGACCCAGCATATCGTACATCTTTCCAACAATGGCACTTCAAAAAGGACCTCTTCCAAATTCTCAAATAAAGCACAAGAGACTAAAGATCATAATGATTGTTTACCTTTTCTTCCGAGATTGGAAGCAAAATGTCGAGGAAACTTTCTATCCTTAGTGAATAATGATAACATTCTTCACACACAATTGTGTTGATGAACTGACCACAGAAAACCCAATCGACGACGGTGTTCTGACCGGCACGTCGTCCATAACGCTTCACTTCGGCGTGTGTCCGCTCATCCACTTCATTCAGAGTTGTTTTACTTGAAAGTTGAAAGGCATTTAAAATGCCTATCCGATAACGCTGCAAAGGCAAAAGACACTTTTTTAGCCCGTCATGAATCTTACAAATGGTCTTCCAAAACTCAGTACTGGAATACTGGGTGAATCCTTCGACACTTGACCCAAGAATAGGCAATAAATTCCTTGACATGCAAACGTATCACTAGGAAATTTTTGTCTGAATGAATAGATGACAGTAATTGGAAGAAAATCCAGTCAATCTCTGGACTATAACCCATATCTGACACAACGTGTCCCACATTCACCTGTCATTCATGTCTGGTAGGAACAGTAAACATTTTAAGAATACTAATTTTTTTTTATTAGTATCAGGCTGAATTTTCGAGGAAGTGCACTAATGCAAAGCCACCAAAAAATATTACATTCCTCAAAATTTTCCGGAATGATCTCCTCTTTCCTGCAGAACGTGATGAAATATTTCAAAATATTGCTGCATTTGTACGACTGCAACAAAATATTCAAGCACTCATCCTTGACTTAACACATGTTCCGCATCGAAAATGGCAATCCCCCATGAAAAGACATGTTGACTACATACATATGTAACTATACTATGCTTCACCCGTCTGCAAATGTTTGCAAATATTGTCCATGCAAAGTGTAATGCATTACAAAAAAGCACTGGATCAGCTCTATACGTCCAGCTGCACATTACGGACAGTTTGTCCAGGGACATGACATTTCAAAAGGGAATAGCTGCGTAGCACATGAGACTTTTAAACCGAAGGTTGTCAAAACCAATTGTTCTTGAAAGATGCTCAGAGTTTGAATCAAAGGCTTCAAAGTTACATTTATATTGCTTTTCTAACTCCTGATTCAATTGAATAACCAACAAAACGCCTCCAGAAAACTAAGAAGGGGAAGGACTTCAAGCAAAGAAGGTTTTCAATTCATTTCTTCTAAGGGAAATGGAAAAAATCGAGTTATTGAGATTAAATTGCGTTAACTTTGTACCCGAGAAATGACAAAATCCCGTCTCATGAAGCAACCGAGCTTGGATCACCATCGCCGAAGAGGTGTTGGTACTGACTTTCAGTCGATGCTTCTGTGATGCTTTTTGATCGATTTTTACAGAATGTTGGCGACGTTTGCCACAAAATTCGAATTTTGACGAACAAAACTGAGTTCATGAAGCAGAGGAAATGAAATTGTGAAAATGTACGCTTGAAATGCAGAAGACGTATAGCTGATAACGGATACACCCAACATTCACTCCAGCCTCAAGAAATAATTTCATAGATGGAAAAAAGGTCTACTCACCTCACTAGAAGAGCAGCTTCCAGAGCAGGTATATTAACGGGATCAAGTTTCTCGGGAAATTCAATGGAAAATTGAATGATCAAATGACCTTTCTCGAATGGATTTTGGTAATGTGGCATTCCTTCTCCGTTGATATATTTACACTCTCCATGCTTGATCACTTCACCTGAGCAGAGGAAGTTTGGCACTGTATTACTCACACTGGAAGTCCAGAATTTTAAAAGCAGAAACTTACTGGGAACAGTCTGCTTGAGAAGTGTGCGGCTATCCAGCGTTTGAACATTGCGGCGCAATCCACACAGCACTTCAACCAAATCAATTTTCATCCTCATAATAAGGTCATCGTTTGAACGTCTGGAGAGGAAGACAAAATATTTTGGTGAATTTTAAAAGTTGTGTCTCATCTCGCAGAAAGGCAGAAGACGCATTCTTGAGACCACAGTTAATGGCATCTTACAAGCTTGATCGTTACGATTGTCTTCATAGCAATACTTTGCTGGTGGAATTCCTGAATTGGTTCGGCCTACTTCATAGAGCCGAGTTAACCTAGCCTCGGAACAATGAGACCCAAACGTCAATAATACAACAGCCTCCCGAAAACATATTGGATTATAAAATATAAGGTGATCAAAAGCAGGGTTTAATATTGAAACAATGATCCTACCGCATAGAGTACAGTGGGGAAACCAATGAACGGACGCTTAAAAAAATAGATTCTGCATTCAAAAAACTTTTCATTTTACAGTATTTTAATTCTGATGTCTCAAATAATTTGAACTACTCATTCAGAAAAATGAAAAATTAATCGTACAAAAAATTACTCTAGTACAAACCAACCTAATTTTGTGCTCATTTCAGTGTGGTCCAGGTGTGCACAGTACAGCCAGAATTGTTGCTGTTTTGTGCCTCTGAAGCTCCTTCAGATTCCAAAATACTGTATATTCTTTGCGTTTGGCACATGTATTTCCTGAGTCATGAAAAAAAAATTATTTATTTTCTGGGGACTTCATTCCAAACTTTTTATGAACAGGAGAACCAATTAAATACATTCCTAATGAAGTCCACGGAGAAACATGATCTGAAATTTGAACTCTCCAACATAGGAACAAAGTCCAACTTGTCCAAGCACCCACTGCATCTCTGACAAGGATCATCGTACAGTACGAGAAGTTTGCTTACAATTTCAAAGCAACTAAGATTCTGAGAGGGAGAAGTACCATGTGCAAATAATCGGAAAAATACTGATTTGACGAGACTATTGAAAGGGAGGAAACCTCGGCCAACACTTCATTCACACAATTTTCTGCTCTCCATCCTACATAGAAATTGCAAGCCAGGGCGATCCAAATGAGGACACATATCTTCAGGAATCTTTACAAATTTCATCCAAAAATTGCCCGACACACCCCAGTTGCAATTACTATTTTGAACCATCAAACTCACGTGAAAACTTCGTGCTCCTTCTCATCCAGGACTATCACTATATTTCCGGGCTCCAGTCCAGGTTCCTGATCCCCGTCACTGGCAAATGGGATCTTTTTGTCCAGTGCGCATGTCGTTATCAATGTGAACTTCTAAAATCTTCCTCTCACGTACCACCTGCCGCAAAATATCCACATTTACAAAGGATGAATATTGATAAAACTGATTCAGATCAACCTTCCGTCCTTGGCACTTTTTGCATCTGTCTTCGGGATTAATGCGTTCTCCACTGCCTTCGCATTCTTGGCATACGCTCTGGATTTGCTGGATCATTCCAGGTGCAAGCTGCTGGACGCAAACCTGCATTCCCGATCCACGACAATTCTGACAAGTTTCAACTGCTCCCTTCTTACCTCCACGTCCTGAAGATATCCCACAAAATTCCATTATTTCTCAGCATTTCAGCTTGAATCACTTTGGTGCTTGCGAAGCTGGCTTACTAACGCATCTCAGCAATGCAGAAATGACAACAATTATTGATTCACCCTAACTTAATGTTCACTCGTTCTGAAGCATAGAAATCACAGTACCTTCACACTTATCGCAAATGACGTTCTTCGCTAGAGAGAGTTTTTGAACCGCTCTCCATTGTACAACTCCTCCAATGGGACACTTAATTGGTGCACTACGTCCTTGCCTCTGCAGAACCAAGGTTTTAGGAAAATGCCGGCATAAATTATTAATTGTACTCACTTCTTTGGTCCCCCTCTACGACCACCACCAGGACCTCTGAATGGGCCCCCACCGAAGAACATATCGAATATGTTGAATGGTGATGAAAACGCTCCGCCGCGATCGTCAAATCCTTCCCTAATAGCTGATTCCCCTCCTCCATCATAGATCCTACGCTTTTCTGGGTCTGACAGTACCTCGTAAGCTTGAGAGATCAACTTGAACTGCAAGAATGCTCATGCCGAATTAGACGTACGTCGCTAAATAAATTCTACGCAGCATACCTTTTCCGGTTCAGCGGGGTTTTTGTTGGGGTGGTATTTCAGCGCAGCTTTGCAATACGCCTTCTTCAGCTCATCAGGAGTGCACCATGGAAGAATGCCAAGAATCTCGCAGAATCCGGTCTCCTTCACCATCGCAATCTCAGTAACAGATTATGGGATTGATTTTCACAAAAATCATGTGCGCAAAACCCCTTCACTATGATGAAAATGAACAATGAAGCTGGGCTTCAAGAATGCTCACAGGCAAAAAATTTTACGATTCAATTTTGAGAATCATTTTCCAATTGAATTAGGCTCCCACTTCCGCCAGTTTTCACACGTCGAAAAACAGGGGCTGACAGCAGTTTTATCATCAATAACAAGAATAAAACATTAAAAATTCTGCAAGTTCATGTATTGAATAGTATGTTATCTTGCTACACCGTTCTTCAACACAAAATTCCTATCTGCAAGCATACGCAGTTCATGAAGTCACTCATTTGTGGCATGGAGGGAGGGAGTGGAAGGAACAGCCCTTTAGGGGGGCAGCGTGGAAGTGAATTGCGTTGAGTTTCAAAGTGTACCATAACGTCTGGTCACCGACATTAACTGTTGTTTTTATTGTGTGCAATCGCTGACTTGACTTTTTGTTTGTGTTCCTGCCATCTGAATGGAGTTGTCCTGTATAAAGGCTCTGTGTGAAACTGTGCCCTGGCGGAAGACTTTATTACGAATCCTTACTGATGTGAACCTTTTAACCAGGTTGTCTGAGTCTCTTGTTAATTCTCTATTTTCACAAGTAAGTTGTAGGTGGGACTTCAAGCTTCTCAATTAGGGAGTGTGTGTAAACTCATTACATTGAAACGCCATGGCAGTGTGATTCGAATTCTTCTTGATTACATTTGCCTGGTCAGAATCTTCTTGGGTGTGACGGTTCTTGATATCTTAGATATTGCGACTTCGAATCGTGTGAAACATCCGATTTTTGCACTGCAGGTACTTGTGTGATCAGTGTTGCCGTTCGTTCGAGTAATTCGAGGTAACG